CTTTAGGCAAAAAGCTAAAATTATCTTCATTTTTTAACAATAATGTAAAATAAAACTATTGGCAGGAAATGACAATTATCTAAAATATTTTTCTATAAATGTAAAAAATGAATTTTTCTAAAAATGAAAATGATCCTTCATATTTAATAAATTAAAAAACAGAAATAAAACACTTAAGCGATCACAAATACACAAGAATAAAACACTAAAGAAAAATGCAGTTTGAAAGAAAGTAAAATAATCTTCAATACTGAATGAAAAAAAAACAACCTCTTAACTAGAAATGAAAACAATCTTAAACATTTAAGGAAAATTTTAAAAGAAAAATAAAATAATAAAAAAAACTTTACGAGAAATCGAAACGATTTTAAATATTAAATGTTAAAAAAATAAAAAAAATCATAAAAATGTTCAACCTCATTATTCTGTTTGTTAGAACAGGCACAGTAATGTCCCTGTCAGATACTATTTTATATTGTTTAAACATTATTTGGGTAATTCTTGGTCCTTTTTCTTTGGCACAACCTTTGAGACAAAACGCTACGTTGCATTCAAAGCCTGTCAGGTTGTAATAGAGGGATTACTGTTTAACTTGTAGGCCTACTTACCCTCCTGGGGCAGCTAATTAATACGTGTTATTCAGATGTGTTGCACTAACATAACCAGATGGGGCCACTTTAGGACGCTCGTGGTGCAGATAAGAGATGGTCTGACTTCTCACCAGGTCCTCGGAGGTCAGGTGAGTCAGCCTCTCGTGGATGAGGGCGGCCTGCTCGTCGCTCATCACGTACTCTCCTCTGCCGTCGCCCGTCACCAGCTCCGGCCACAAGGGTCCCTCGCTGCGCTTCTGCAAGGTCACCTCCAGGCTGAGGACAAACAGACGACACGTAAACACACCGTCCTTGTCAGCCGAGCAGCCGGCGACGAGTCGGTCGTACGTATGTAAATATTAAAGTCTGACGGGCTGCAGCGCCGTCTGAAAGTACATTAAAGCTAAACGGTTCCACAATTTCAGAAAAAGCCCTTTTTCTTATAAACTTAAGACGAGAGCGAAGCAATCAGACAGTAAACATCCAATCGGGGCGGCCGAGCTCAGACGCAGCGCTGATGATGAAGGTCACATCGGGACCTGGAGGGTCATCCAGCCGCTCGGAGCTGCAGCCCGTCTCAGTCTTCACGCAAATTACGTCCCTCAGGAGGGAAGAGTGGAGGCAGTCTGAAGCTGTGCTGCAGAATAAATCGAGCAGGAAAACACAGCCTCAGCTCATAGCATCAGGAGAAGCAGAAATTACATCTTCAGAATAACAGACAACACTTATTACATCAAAACTTAAGACTTAGATTAGGCTTAGATTGAGGTAAGTTTTTAATTAAAGGATGCACACTTTTAGAATTTGTTTTTCTTTGGTTTGTTAATCACACATGGCTCTCTCCCCACATCCAGCCAGTATGTGGACTGTCCAGCTGGAGCCGGTGGGGCCTTGGACCTGCTGTATGCAGACATCAGGATGCACATTTACTGGTATTTTCTTGTACTTTCTATGTTTTTGGATGCTGCTGTGGCGTGTAAGCTTCCCAGGTCTGGGGTAAATATAGTATATTTTATTTTTAGTTCATGAGATTTATTCTGATTGGAGCTGCAACATAAGACTTAAAAAAAAACAACAACAAAAAAAAACTCGACAGGAAAATAATCAGTAGCTGAAGCTACTGTCTCTGTTCTTAGTCCAACTCATTGTGTCAAACAAATGACATACTAGCAGCAACAACCAATCAGCACTGAGAGATTACATTAAAAAAAGCTCTTTTTAATCAAACATAAATTTAAAAAAAGGCATTTTAGTTAAATTTTGTGGTGGAATGTTCGTTATTCTGAATTTCTTTTACAAATATCAGTTCCAGATGTTGACTATCCTTGAAGTCCAATAAATGGGCTTAAAAAACCCGATGAGGCTGAGTGTTGTAGGTGAGCTGGTGTGCTCGAGCTGCAGCGAGTGTGCAGGAACACGTGGAAAAATAGACGGGAGCTTCATTAATCTGAAAATTACAGAGAAAACAACAACAAGAAGGAAAGTATAACTTCTAAATATGTCATGTGTGATACACACAGATGAGTTTTTAGAGGTTTAGTTCACTTTATGTTTTTTTTTTTCTTTTCAATTTTTCAGTTGCCAAGTTACTACAATTCAATACAACTGCATTTGTTCGTCGGTCCTAAGCGGCTAATTGTGATTAGTGAGGCGTCCTGCTCTCGGGCTGCAGGTGTTAATTCTGCATAATGTTATTCAGTCCGTCCATTGAAATCTGCACACTTGACCGCACCGCGCCGCAGGCCTGGACCTGAACTCACGAGAGGCTGTTCAGCGACGCTCGCTGAACGATGCTAATGAGGATCAGCCTTCGTGAATTCAAGGAAAAAAAAAGCAAGAATACATCAGAATAACATTACGGTCCTGGTTTTACAGTACGCATGTCGGCGTCTGTGCATGTCGCCCAGAGTGGAACCATTATGTTTGGACATCCGAGTGAGTTGTGTGCAGATTTTTATTTAGTAAGTCGGACATGATGAACCACGCGAGGGCTTTATCGTGTTACCGAGTTAATGCAGCAGCACGGCTGCAGACTGGAGATTATTCTAAGCTTCTAACAGCATCTCTAACTAAAATAACTGATGGCTCAAGTTTTTCTTTGCTGCAAAGCCAAAAACAAGCAAAAACATCAGCTAAATTCCCTGAACTAACAGGAGCTGCCTGTTTAGTTGCTGCTGTTTTCATATTAACAGAAGTTTAAATGTGTGATTCTCTTCAAACTGACCTGATGTGATCAAGGACACCGTCTGTTTACAGCTGTAGAGCCGAGCCGTGGATTTCTGAGGCACCATCTGCGTTTGTACTCAGCAGAGCAGCTTAAAAGTTTCATTTCAGCCGTCGTGGAATCAGAGTTAGTTGTTAACAGAGCTGATAATTGTCATTTTAACAGGTTTTTCCTACATAAAAGGTATTTTTGCTGCCACACAAAGCACCAAAAAATAAAAGAAATTGAGTTTTTTTTCACCATTTTTGTCGATCGGGGTTTTATTTACTCATGTAGCATAATTAACATGTTGTTTATTAAAACAGTCAGAAATAACAGGGATATGCAATGCTGTCACATCTGCCACTGGGACACAAGAACGCTGTCCTAGTTTGTCTTAAACATCAGCTCTGGATGGAGGTCATTACCCATCACAGCAGTCTTTGTCAAGGTAAACTCCCACAATGCTCTCTGTTTGCCAACCTGACCTTCTTGTCGTCTGAGTGACTCCTCCTCTGGTCTCTACAGGGTTAAACACCAAGTTTTCTCCATCTTTTGAAGCTTGTGGAGCCTCTATATCGTCTCCACACCACATTTCAGACGGAGACCTATCAGAGCTTTACAACAAAGTCTATAAACAAATGTGTCTGGATGGTTGTGTGTCTCAGCCTGTGTGTCCGTGGTGAGAGTCGACGACGTGTAAAAAGGTTTGTAAATGCGTACGAAGACACAAATAGATGAAAAGTGTTAGTATTCGGTGCTGGACATACAGACAAGTCACCAGTTACAAGTCCAGCAGGCCTCACTTTCTGTTCACACATGACTTTTGCTTCACTTCTGCAGTGAGAGATCGGTATCTGTAACTTCAGGGTTTCTTTGCCCTGAGCTCAGGCTCACAGGCTCGTTCGTTCTGGCTGCTCTGTACCTCAGTAGTTAAGCCATCAGGTGGCGCTATGCCTCACAGTCTTTTAGGACACACGACATTGTCTGATATGTGAACATTCGCTGAGTTTGTGGGTTTTCACGTTCAAGTTCTACTGAGGTACAGAGCAGCAGAGCGGTACCAGCCACAGTGAACCTTCTCACTGCAGACACACAACTCTCCACACGCATTGACAAATAGTTACACCGGCTTCCAGTCGCTCAGAGAATCGACTTTAAAACAGTTTTGCTCGTGTACAAGTCTCCTCATGGTCCATCTCTGACATGTTGGTGCCGTATGAACCATGTGGGGCTCTGAGAACCTCAGGGAGGGTCTCCTGCTGGTGCCCAGAGTCAGGACCAAACACGGTGAGGTTCCAGTTTTATGCAGCTAAAATCTGGAGCTGGATTTCAGAAGATGTGAGACAGGCCTCAAGTTCAAATCCAGGATGAAAGCAGTTGTATGTAGAAGTGCATGTGACAGCTGGAAGTATTTTATCTGCACTCTTCTGATGAATAATTATAAACATGGATTTATTTTATCTGCTGCTTTGCTTTTAATGTCATTACTTAATGACTGCGTTTATGTTCTGTGGACTGATTTGAGAGTTTTGTGTGAAGCACTTGGAATTGCCTCGGGTACAAATTGTGCTAAACAAATAAAGCTGCCTTGTCTAGTTGTGCTGCACTAATACCCCCGTACTATAACAGCAGAATGTACATTTTGTCTGAATGCACTGCAGCAGGATGCAGCTGTCAAGCACATGCACTGGATTCATGTTGGTAACTTAAATATAGTGTGTATTATTATCTAGATGTCTAATCTGGATTCATATCAGCACATAATAAATATTAAATGACTCGAATCTTAATGGCATAAAAAAACTGATCAGGGCATCCCGAGCTAACATCAAGCCCTGATTAACCACTAATCCCAGATGCTTGGCTGGAACACCGGAGGACTCCAACCAAACTCTAAACAAACCTTCATGCTAACTGGCCCTGAAGGTAAACGAGGGCAGGATTTGAATTTTTAAGTTGCGATGTAGTCGCTGATGTTATTTCGGCAGCATCCACCGCCTTCCTCCGATCGGTTTTAATAATCACAAACGCCCACTTCTTATTAAAGCGGTTAACCATCTGGTCGTTTAATAAAAGACAGGAATGAAGAGATTCGCCCTGTTGGTCCCAAACTTTCACACAGCTAGAGGACAAAGCGGCGGCGGCGTACCTTCCAGCACAGAATGTAACGACACGTCACGAGCTGAGGGACGCACAATTAAAACATCACCGAGTACGACAATTATCTTGACACAACCTATTATACGTAGAGGCAGCACACACACACACACAAAATAACTCCTATTTTTTTGCTTTTATTCACAATTTTCTCTCTTTTTATCCTCTCACTTGCTTTTTTTTTTTAAATTCTACTTCATAAATTGCTTTTCTTTTCCATTATCTCACCATGTTTTTTTTATAAAGACGCTGTCCTTGATGCTCTATTGTTCAGCCGATATTCAGGCCAGTAAAGCACGCTGAACAGAAATGTGAAAATCCTTCACCTTCACCACGTTGCTCTTCGACGGCACCAGAATTAAACAAATGTGAGGCTTTTACACCCCTTTATCTGGCTCCAATTACACACTTAATGCATCAAATTACACCTCCTGAGTTTAATTACTTTGGTGTTGCAAACTTTCAAGGCACAAAAACCGTCTTCTTCTTCCACCGTTTGCAGGCTGCAGCGTCGACGTAAGAGTACGAACGTGGTCCTTCACATGCCTCGATTTTCCATTTCCCCTCCACATTGTGCGGCAGGATGTTATAAAACAGGCCCATGTTTGATATAAAAGACACAAAAGGCAGCTTCTTAATTCACTTCCGGACGCGGCAAAGTGCTCAGCGGAGAATAAAACCTGCTGGTGTGGAAAAACATGCTCAACGCAAACAATCCCCACTGTTTTTTTTCCTCCCTTCTGGTGTCTCAGGTGCAAACTGCAATCGCACTTTTCCATTTCCATTTAAAACCGCCGTGTATTTTGTTTTTGATGCCTTCTGTGCACGTGGGGCAACCCGAGGAGGTCGCTGTGATCCCTGGGAGATATTCACAGTTTAAAATGTCATCTGGATGCACGCACAAAGCAGGATC